CTTTCACAGATTTTCCTTTTAAGGGATTTATTCTCTTCCTCCGTCAGGACTTCTGTCATATTCATGACGGCTCTTTTAAGATATTTGTCTTGTGCTGCAGCTGTGTTGCAGTACTCAGGGCCTGGTAGGGTTTCTGGGCTCTAGTGGAGACAGACCTACTGTCCTGGCTGTTAATTGATTGTGCTTTAGGATGGCATCTAGGAATCTGGGTTTGGGAAGATCGTAATTCTAGGTGCTAATGTCTGAACTTTGTTAGTTGGGTGCTCTGTTGTTGGGTTTCTGTTTCTTGCTCTCTGGTTCTTAGGAGAATGTGTAGACTGTATGTTTCCAGATATTTTTATGGGATCCTGTTAGGTGTGACCACTAGAGGGTTCCAGGTAAAATATGTTTCTAGGTGCAGGGAGCTGACACTTAGGAAGGGGAACAACTAGGAGGTGGAGAGGAGGGGGGGGTCACAGGAGGGAGAAAAGCAGGGTGTCAGGGTGTCCCATCAGGATCTGCTTAGTCCCCGGGGAGTGAGTGCAGAGAATGAGGAGAGTCCACAGCAGGTCTCCTCTAGAGCTGGTGCGAGAATGCAGATTGGACGTGGAGAATGGATGGGTGGGGAGGATCTGCACTTAGCCTGTCTGCTTAGAGCCTGCAGGTTCCCAGGAAGGAACGATTGGAGTTCGGAGCTGGGATAAAGCCTTGAGTAGGACGAAGAAGTTTGGGGAGCTGTGTGATCCCCTGAGACGGGGTTGGGGTTGTAGGACTCTAGCAGGGAGGATGCAGAGGCGATTTTCTGTAGCGCTAGAGATGAGATTGGAGATTCTACCTGTTTCCCTGGTCAGTGCGGCCTGTGGCTTCTTAAGGAGTTTCAGTCTGAATTCATTCCCAGAGAACAATGCATTAAAGATTTGTCCATATTGCCTAAATTAGTAGTTCCTTTTTTATTGTTGAATAGCATTTTATCGTTGAAGTCATCATTTTAGCCATGTACAAAGAATGATACCCTTATTAATATGAGTATATATGTCCTGGTTTTGATGTGAACATAAATTTCAATCTGATAAATGACTAAGGGATAGAATTAATTATGTGGTTATATAGTAAGCCACTGTTTAGGTTTTTATTGCTAAAACTGTCTTCTAAAATGGCTACTTTCGTTTCTAAAAGGTGTCTTTAGTTGAATTTTCGAGCTCTTTGATGGTAATTCTTTTCTTTCTGCTCTTAAAATGCTCTGGTAGTCAGTGGGGGCCAGCCTTCCAGGTGTGTCTTACTCTGGTCTGGGCTTTACTCCCGTCCTCCTCTCTGCTACCGCACTGAAGCCTTTGAGACTGTGACATTTCTTTCTGTCAGGAATTTTTGTCATAGTACCAGACAGACCTTGGACTGACATGTTTATTGAAAATCTAGAATATATTTAGTGATACCTGTTTTAATATCCTTGTCTAGTAATTCCACCATTTGTCTAATTACTATATTTATTTTCACTTGCTATATTTCAACTTTTTATGAGTTATAGGTTCCTGGTTTTGGTATATTTGCTGTTGGGTTCTTTTATGGTAGTTTGTCGGGTTGTTCATATATTGTTGGACTGCTTGAGGATGTAGATATGTTACTTAGAAGCAGGCTGATCTTTTCTGAGCTAGGTGTCTCCAGAGTGTTTTCCTAAAGCTTACTTAATTTGATAGTTGAGACTTAAACCTTCTTTACATTCTGAACTTGAAGCCTTATGAGCTTTGAGGATTGTTTCCTCTGTTCATGTTTTCAGAAGACTTTTCTCTAGACTGAGGCTTTTTCATATAGAGATACAAACCATCACTCAGCTTAAATCATTAAATTCCTATTAAAGGAATTCTCTGTTCAGATCCTTGGATTCTTTATTGCTGAAGCCTTGGTCTATACTTACCCTGCAGATTCTAGTTGCCTGTTTCCTCTGTGTAACTTGGAACTTGTGCAGCCTCTTGAGAACCTTGAGCTCTGGTTGGCTTCCACTCTGCCCTTCCTACAATGATCTGGGAGTACTGAGAGCTCACTCTATTGCCTGTGTTCTCTTCCTATCCTGAAATGAGAGCTAGTTTTTTGTTTTCTTTCATGGAAGATATCTCTGCTTATTAGAAGATTTCCCTGTAGTTTGGCAAACACATACTTTTATGACTTTTAACTCTTTGTAGGATGTTGTGGGAAAACAGTTTATACACCTGCTTTAGGAGCAATGACATTCTTGTTCCTGGTTGTTCCTTCTCACAGTCTTAGGGACATATGTGTAGTGTGTATTGTGGATCATTTCATTCCCTGGCTGTCAGTTATCACCACAATGCATTATTCAGTACAATATAGGGTAAAGATGGTGACATGTTCCTTTTTCATACTTGTTTAGAATATTATTAAAGTATTACTTAGCACTTACATTTTTATTCCGAATTGCCTTTTTTTGTATAATTAAGATGTGCTATTAAAGAGGTATAGCACAAAAGAATTAAAAGCTACCTTGCTTAATTTTAGGTTTTAAATACATCTTTTGATAAAATTTGCACAATATAAAAGTACTACTATATGGAATTTTACCCAAATAAAATATTTTTAAGGAGAAAAGCATTCTTATTCTATCTATATAACTAGACTCAACTTTTAGATTATTGACCTCGGTTCAGTTACATTAAAGTAAGATAGATCCTATCGTAAAACTTTTTAAATACTATTATACACTAACATTACAAACAAGATTACTGGTTAGGAGCTATATAATGAAAAAAAATTGTGACAGTCAAGCCAAATATGTGTTACACTTATTGTTATGGGACATCCAGTTCACTTCATAATTTTGTCTTTAAAATACCCTAATTCCTGACTCAAGGATATAGGTCTATGGTAGAGTGCTTGCCTAGCATTTGCAAAGCTCTGTGTTCACTGTTAAGCACAGCATAAATTAAATAATAAACACAAATGGTTTAAATGATATATAGTAATAAATATACTAATGGTTAAGTAAATTCTTTTTTTGAGAGGTATACTTCATTCCAAATGCACATGGAAATGTTTAATGTGCAGTTACAATTTTGCTCTAGAGTTGGGCATTCTGAGGTATCTCAGTCCAACATGTACCATGCATGGTCAAACTGAGTAAAACCATCGCTTCAGCAACTTGGTAATTTGATTATATGGACTCTCCACAACTTTTCAGTGACGTTAGTGACCAAGCCCGCTCAGTCAGTTAATAGGTTCTCCAGGGCAGAATCGAGGATTAAAAAGAAAAAGGACAATTAGACAACACTGTAGCATGACCCCAGCCAGTTCTGAGGGTGAGGCGGGTTTATTTTTTCTCCAGTCTGCCTGAAGCCTACTTCTTTGTTCTAGCCCAAAATCAGATTCCTGCCTGAGCTTACTTCCCTGTCCTGGCCCAATGTCAAATTCCTGCTGAGCAGCCCCCAAAGCTCTCCACATGTTAGTTTTTCATTTAAAAGTTATTCTCTTGGTGGATTGTGTCAATGTATATATATTTGTAAACCTTTGTATTTGTCCCTTTTAGTAACACTGGTTTGAGATTTTTTTTGTTGTTGTTTTTTAAATTGCCAGCCTTATTGGTTACCAGTACTTAACTGCTTTTGCAGAGGACTTGGGTTTGGTTCCTAGCATCCCTGTCACATGTCTCACATCACCTGTAACTCCAGCCCTGGGGCACCTGATACCCTGTTCCATGATCACAAACCTATTCACATACATACATGCTTATACATAATCTAAAAAGTACATAAAAATTTAAGGAGTTTGTGTATGGGGTTAATGTATATGTGTAATGTATTTAACATATGGACGCGGAAGGTGTCTTTAGGAGCCACATGACGTTTTCTCAGTTAGAGTCACTGTTACTGAACCTGGAGGTCACTGATTGGGCTGTACGGGTGGCAGGTCAGTGAGCTTCAGGGGTCTGCCTGTCTGTTCCTCTTCCACCCCCCGACTCCTACGTGGGTTCCAGGGATGGAAGCAGGTCCTGATCTACTGAGCCATCTCCATAGTCCTTACTAACCTGAATTCTAAATCAGATACTTTTAGTATCTCATCCTAATGTTCATTTCATATGATAGTAAATATATATATTTTAAAAAAAATTTGAATGCAAAGTTATAATGGATAGCAACATTATTTAGTAGCTACCTTTCTAAGAGTAAATGTTTTATACTCTTAAGGGTATTTGTACTGCAATGCATCTTATACGTTCTTTGTAGAACTACCTTTAAATCTTTGGACTTTTTGAATTTTAATATATAGTTTTGAAACAGCATGATAATTCTTATCTCAGTTTCATTTTTTAACCTGACATGTACAGTGCGTGTTATTTTGTTCATATTTACCCAGGCTGAGAAATGAGCATGATTAACCCCCCCCAAAGTGAATCCTATTGTAATGCGCATGGAATTGGGGTGCTGAAAAGCAGGCCCTCGTTGTTCTTTGTTGCAGTTATGCTTATAGAATACTTAATTGGGTTTTTAATCTAATAATTGTTTTAAAAATACCGTGTATTTCCATCTTAGAGCATGGATATAAGCTTCGTGAGTGGCAGGAATCAGTACGTAAACAGCTTACATTCCTAGCGTAGAGTGTAGGCAGTGGGGCGGGGACATCCAGGTAATGACTGAATCTGAATTAATTGGTATTTGGAGAATAACCAGAGAATATTTAAGACAAAAAAGTTTGGGGTAAGGGGGGGTGGTTTGTTGTTGTTGTTGTTTTCTTGTTATCTTTGTTTTTGTTCGCCTAAGTTTCTTCCTGTTGTATAATGTCTAGTATGTGACAGAGTAGTGGAAGAAGGTGTGAATGGATAGTTTTTATATCAGATAATTTGTACCTCAAAGCCTAGTGCTACTTTACCTAGGAGGGAGGATGGGACAGGGTCTTAAGACAGTTGCTTTTTGGTTTTTTTTTCTTTGTATTTTGTGTGCTACGTTGAATGTTTTTGATAATGTTATATATATTTACATGTTAGTAATTTTGATGGCTTTTGGATAATTCCACTCTAGAGGGAGAACTGGTGGGCGGTCCTTCCTGTGACACGACCCTTGAGTGACAGTTCTATTTGATTGCCTCCAGTACTGTGAGGAAAGGACACGACTCTATGGTGAGGACTGATGGACATACATTATCTGAGAAAAGAAACTACCAGGTAAGATTGTTTTCCTTCCCTTTCTCCATTTGTCGTAAGTGCATTGAACTGTTTTAACATAATATAGAATTGGAATTAACCAATTACAATAATACAGCCTCCTGAAAATTTGTGGTATTATAAGTTTAAATATTACATAATAGAATTGACAGCTTGAAATAATTGTTAATATTTTACAAAATGACACGTGTTTATAATTGTATATTTTTTAGTACCAGAATAATTTTCTGACATATATGACAAAATTTCAGATTATCTGATATAAAATAAATGATTTTTGGCTGGATTCAAAGGCAGTAGTTCATAAAGTATTTTACGCATATTTCTGAAAGAATGATATGTAAGTTTTGGGTTATATTTTGTATAACAGAGTATTAGAGAAATGTAGGTAGCATGGATAGGCTATAGAAGAATAGTGAAATCTAGGAATATACGATGACCCAGATCCTGTTTAATTATGTCACTAATATGCTGTCCTTACAACATCAGATTCCTGTTTTGTTCCTTACTTAACACTATCCATTCTTAATATAATTATGTAGGGATGCTCAAAAGATAGTAGAAGTCTGCCATTCCTGTTTCTTCCTGAGCTTTTGAAAGAAGGTAGACTTTAAAGTAGTGTTATTGAAGTGATTTTTTTTATAAAACAGAACAGATAGTGTGTGAGGTTAAGTTTTAAATGGAAGCCTAACTTCATTTAATTGTTATAGTGAATCCAGTATAAAATTGTGAAGTAATATTAAATACTGAGTAAGTTCATTATAGGAATAAGCTGTTAGACTTCCTGTGTAGACATGGTTCTAGCCCATTGCTCCCTCTTACCTCAGGAGTTTGTCCTTTGAAACTAAGATAGCTAATGTGACACACCAGGGTTGGCCAGCTACTCACACACTCGAACTTGGTGCACTGAGGCATGAGCAATGGAGAGAACTGAAAGTGAGTTGGATGCTGTGTGTCAGTAAAGAGCCTTTGGTTGTAAGCCTTGGGTTCTGTCTTGGAGCACCATCCCCAGGAGAAGATGCTTCTGTGCCTAACCTTCCTAGAGCCTTTGCCTAACTTGATGGGTGAGGTTTTGGGCCAGATCTTTATTATTTAATAAGCCAGAGTAAACTGGGATTATGCTTAATCAGTTCTCCTTATAACTCTTCTGATTTGTCCTTATAGACTGGACTAGCCTGTGCTAATTACTATTTGTGCTTGCTATATAGCTCTTCCTACCTCAGAACCACTTCCAACAGCTTATACTTAATTGTAAGACTTCATTGGTTACACTTTTTGGGCTTTTGCATCTATGTTAGGTTTTGCTAAATCACTACAAGAATAATGTGATTATGGATTGTGTGGCATTTCAGTGCTCACAAACATGTTTTCAGAGTGCGAGTATAGAACTTTCGTTTGATTTATACATTGTAGCTAATTTGTGTCATGGAACAATATTCATGTCCACTTCTAGAATTAATTACTTATGAAAGGAATAAAACAGTTATATTTTGCCAAAAAACGAGTTCCTTATTTCTGCTTGTACTACTGTAAAGGTGCTTTATTCTAGTCTCAATATGCAAATAACACAAGTTTTTGAGTTTGCATGAGGATGCTTTCTTGATTCGACTTTTGCTGGCTGAAACTATTTTTCATTTGCCTTTTACTGTTATATAGTGGTATCCAATGTGTATTGAAACGTCTTTGGAAATAGGTCTGGATTGTAAAATTGTTTCATTTTTGAAATCTCCTCTGAAAAGAACATGTGCATAGGAGACTGGTTTCGTATCTAGCATTAAGATGAATATATTGAGAGCATATGGGATAGTCACATAATGCTGAATCACCAAAGCAAAACCATGTGTCTTAGGAGCTCTTAGGAGCTTGTATATTCTAAGATGAAACTAAACTAATTTGGAGTTTATACATTTTTACTTTATAAGAATTTCGTTATTTTCATTGTTAAAGTAGACTTTCTTTGTGTCTATATAACTTCATTTATTTGAGAGCTTTTGGTTTTGGAATTTTCTTTAAGCATCCTAATAATTGCCTAATATTTGAGCTTAACAAAAAAATTTCTCCAATTTTCATTTCTACATAGAACTTATAAACTTTCAGTTACACAGGAGTGAAATATTGATTTTTGTAGTAGCATTAACTTTGTATGTTTTGTTTGTCAATAAGCCCAGTTAGGTATTTGAATATAGTAGATGAAGTTTGTTTGCATAAATAAATTAGTTTAGGAAAGCAGTCCTTTTTGAAAGGGTTATCAAGTTTTTTTATAAGAAAGTGGACATTATGTCAGTTTTAAGTTTTTCTGTTTCTTCCTATAATTCACACTAATTTTGCCGCAGCTATGAGCATACATACATTGACACCATCTTAGCTACCGCTTTGATTCATCGATGGCTTCCTCTAATCCTCCTCCTTGACTTTTCTTGGTTGTGTTCCTCCACATGATTTCTGTGTGTACTTATGCCCTCAGTACAATCATTAAGGAATGGTATCCTTTCTTCATGACTCAATAATTTGATTTCCATTTTTCCAGAACCTTCCCTAAAATGGACACAGGGTCTTTTTTCTATTGCTTTCAAGTCCTGTATACTTGTAGATTAGTGTTGGCCTTAGGACCAGACAGCCATCTATTTTCTTTCAATTTCCTGTACACTTACACTGTTTGTTCCATAGACAGAAGCTACAAATGGCTACTTAAACTCGTTTAAGTTAAATACTATTACATTTTTAGTTTGCCAACCATGTAAGCCACATTTTAAATGCGTAGTGTATACTTCTTCAAGTGGCTCCTGTACTGACCAGTGCACATTGACTGTTCTGTCATTCTATAGAACTGCAAGATAGCGCTGCTTTGTGGATGTGGTCAGCCTGTTGAAAATTCCAGCCACATTTGCCTATTTTGGCACCACCAGTACCTAATGTGGTACCTGCCCTACAGGCAGATGTTCAATATACATTGTGTGAATAAAATTACGGTGAAAAACTGAGAGGAAGAAACAGGGAAGTGTGCTGGCTATCTACTAGTGAGATTTCTGAGATTTTTTTTTTTTTACACTGAATGCAACCTTCCTTTCATTTATCTTTTATCAATAAGAATCAAATTTTTTCCTCATAAAAATGTTGAAGAAAAATATTAAGTCCAATATGAATGTCACCGTCCTAACTTTTTTCTTAGTGCTTTGCTTTGTAATCTCTCCTAGTGAGTAAAAGTGCAAATGCGGTTTGTGGGTTTTCGTGTTTTCTTAACAAATATGTATTTTCAGCTTGTTATTTATGATGATATTGCCATAACTCATTTCTTGTTTTATTTTTTAGACGTAATCATTAATTTGAGTTTGGCATTTCACTCCTTATATGCATTTTTTACTGTGTATGTAGGTTTTCTTTTTTTTTGGTTTTTCGAGACAGGGTTTCTCTGTGTAGCCTTGGCTGTCCTGGAACTCACTCTGTAGACCAGGCTGGCCTCGAACTCTCGAACTCAGAGATCCGCCTGCCTCTGCCTCCCAAGTGCTGGGATTAAAGGCGTGCACCACCACCGCCCGGCTTCCCCCCCCCCCATAGGTTTTCATATTTACAGGCACATCCTTCTTTCTGGCAGTGGTTTGACAAGTTATGCCGTACATTCCACTGTTCTGAGTAGGAAACACGAGCTTTTAGCCCACTTAACCTTCAGGCACTTTCCCAAGGTGATCACTCAGCACTTGATAATGTAAAGTAATATAAAGTACACATTAATCTGGTTAGTAAACACATACGTAATTAGGAAAGAGGGTCTCTACTTGGTAAGTTTTAAGCATTCCTGTTGACAGACTAGCACGTTATACTGCAGTGAGCTGTAAGTCTAAGCTATGGAAGCAGCCGTTTCATTGTATAAGTCAGTATGAAAAGTCTGTCTGCAGGCCCCAGTGTCTGTGCTTAGTTGATTCTCAGAGTCATAGTTGTGCTAGTTAGCTTGGGGCCTTCTTTGGGTACTTCTAATGTGTTCAGAAACACACACATTTGTGCATCTTTGAATATGTCAGATATTGATAAACAATGAATATCAGAGACAACTTAGAAAAATCTGTAGGATTTTTTTTTTTAAAAAACGAATACTTAACAGTAGATCTGGTGCTTAGAATAATAATAGAGGTAGGCTTTAGTCCTTGTCGCTATGTGGTGTAGAATCAAGGTAAGTAAGAGTAAGCTGATGAAAAACTGAATCACACACACAAGACTCTAGTGAACTACCTCACAGTCTTCTCTTCTTAGCGCTTGAAAATCTTGTTAACAATGGCCCTAAGTATTGTCCTTGGTCAGAGATACAAAGCAATAGAGTGGGATAAAACTCAAAATGATGACTTTATGTTTGCTTCATTTGCATTCATTAGAGCTGCTAATGGGGTGGTGCAAAATAATAAATAATGCCAGTAGCTAAGGCTGCTTGCTGATCCTGCCACAGTCACTGTTTCAGTATCAGAAGTCACTTGGAATTTATAACTTAGATTGTAAAGTAAAGCTTGCTATTGTTTTTGGTTACCTATCCCCCTTTCCCATGATTCCCTGGTTAACTGACAACATCAGGTTAAATGAGTTCCCAGGTTCCTCAGGGTCAGCTCACTGCTACATTATGCTAGCCTTCCTTCCCTTGTGTTCTGTGCAAACATATTTTTTCCTTCTGAAATCATAAAATGACATCAAGGTTGTTTTCTTCAATTATTTTTGTTACATTTGTTCAATCCTGCATACTTGTTGCATGTGTGCACACACATACATAATGCATGTGTGGTGGCGATCAGGGGACAGCTTCCCAGAGCTGATTCTTTCATTCTAACTGCTCCTGGCTATTGACCTCAGGCTCTGTGGCAAGTGTCTTTACCCACTGAGTCATCTCAGCTGCCCCATGACGTTTGTTTTTTTAGAAAACATGTTTACTTGTAATAAAATGCATGTTGTGGCTCACCCTTAGGGTTTTGGTGTGTGTGTGGGGGGTGTTTAATAGTTCCCCAGGACCAAAATATTCTGCT